TCCCTATAAGCAGAAGGATGGAGGGCAGGGGAGCCTTGTCCCAGGGTGTTGTGACTGACCCGGCTTGTTCCGAGCTCTGGTTTCACCCTGGACCTGTTGCTCACTGCACGTGGTGCAGACTTGCCCCTCGAGCTGCGAGCTGAGACTGGGTTTAACTGTTCTCCAGCCTGCGCTGAACTCCGGCTCCCTGGAATCGGGGAGTCATTAAAGCTCCCCCGCGGAAAGCAGGGATGGGGGGGGCTGGAGCCCTGTCTCCTCAGATCTGCCTGGCATTTGGAGCAGGGGTTCAAGTGACGCCCCTTCTGTGTGAGCCCTGTTGAAATGTCACTTGCAAAAACTTGTTTTTTGCAATCCCTGGCTGCCCTCAGGCACCCTGTGATACCAGCAGCCACGTCCCAGCTGTCACCGCACCGCTGCCTCCTTTTGAGTCCCCACCGGAGCCATATGTTGAGGATCTCGCTCCTTTCCACGGGGCCTCTGTAGTGACGCTGCGCAGCAGATGTTTGTGCTGGGCTGCACCCTCCGGAGACCTGGGTTGCTGGTGGTTTGGTTGTTTGTTTTTCCCCAAAGCCTCTTTACAATGTGTGTTGGCTCATGCTGGGGCTCTCCTACCGCTGTTTTGTGGCTGCTGGCAGGGTTGCTTCTCTTGTCTCCAGGCAGCGGATGGTCCCCATCGCCTGGGGGGGTCACCCTGTCCCCTTCTTCATCTTCGTCCTCCTGCCTGGAGCTGCCGAGGGAGGTTGAAGCTGCGTCTCCCACCTGTCCTGCGCCTTCACCTGCGGGGGAAGTTATCTAGGGAAGGAGATGGATATTAAACAGATTTTTTTTCTTGCCTTTCTCTTTACCTGGAATATTTAGAGGCTCTGGAGGAGCCAGCAGAAGAGTGATAGATTTAAATGATGACCTGCAGCTGGAAAACAGCTTTGCTGCTCTTTCTTCAGTACAAGATTGCCAGATTAATGCAGGGTTAAGCCCTTGCTTGTCCCTAAATCTCCCAGTGGCGGTTTGTTCTGGAGCTGAGCTCTGCCCCAGGGGAGCAGAAACGTTGGGGCAGCCAGTGCCTCGCTCCCCAACCCCCTACCTGTGAGCGCTGCCCTGCGACATGTTGGAGCCAAGAGGAGTGGCCCGACTCCAGCCCTGAGCCCTGTCCTCTCACTCCTTTACGAGCGAGATCAAAGCTGCTTGTTTGGATTTCTGAGCTTTTCAGGCTTTGGAATGGGGCCAGTGTAGCTCTGACATCTGTCGGTGGGATTTAGCGGCGTGACAGGTGCCCTCCTCAGGAGGGAGGGAGGGAGGGAGCTGTTGGGTCGGCTGAGCCAGGGGGGCCAGAGCTGTCTCTCCTGACTATCTCCTCGCTGGCTTTTTGCTCTCCAGGAAGATGTTTACGCACTTTTGGGTCTTTGCGATGGTGCCCGAGACCTCTGCTCTCCTGTAGAGGTTTCTGAGGCTTTGGCCGTTCTTCCTTGGGGATCCTCAGCGTTGGTACCCACTTTCTGGGTGTTCCTGTTGTGATTCAGTCCTGAGTTGATGCTGATGAATCCAACTTGGAGTGTCCTCCTGGTGTCCCCGTCCCCCAACGCTCTTCTCTCTTTGTTTCACAGAGGAGGACGTGGAGAACTTTGATGTGACAAACCTGTCACAGGACGTTTTACGGAGCATCGAAGCCGACAGCTTCTGGTGCATGAGCAAGCTGCTCGACGGGATACAGGTGAGTGTCGGGGGCTGTGGAGGGGAGCTCTCTGCTCCTCCCAGCATTAGGGAGGCTTTGCTACTTCACTGAGCAAAGCCTGTGGGTCAAGTCTTGGGGAAATAAGAGGTTGTCCAACTGGCACTGTCCTGACTAGGGACTTCACAGCAGGCTTGAACACCGAGTATCCTTGGCCTGTGATGATCTCCGCTCCCTGTGGAGCTGGGAATCTGGTTTTGGTCATTTCAACCTGTTGTTGGAGCTGCTGCTGCTCCTGACTCGTGGCCTCTCTCCCCAGGATAACTACACTTTTGCACAGCCGGGGATCCAGAAGAAAGTCAAAGCTCTGGAGGAGCTGGTCAGCCGGATCGATGGTAGGTGAGGCGGGGATCTGAGCAGGTCGCTGCAGCGGGAAGTCTCCTTAGCACGGGGGTTAGATGCTCACCTGCAGCACGTGTGGAAGCAGGACAGGGCGGGGTCAGCCAGAAACCTCCTGGGAGCAGGGTTTGTTGTACAAGGTGAGGAGAGGAGGCGTTTGGGACACGAGCTCTCAACTAGAAAACATATGGAAGCCGGCGTGTTGGGTGCGGGAGCTGGGGCACCATGGTCCACCAGGTGTGTAAGTGAAACGTGCTGTTTCAGAGCAGGTACACAATCACTTTAGGAAGTACGAGGTCGAATACCTCCAGTTCGCCTTTCGCTGGATGAACAATCTGCTTATGAGGGAGCTGCCCCTTCGCTGCACCATCCGCCTCTGGGACACCTACCAGGTACGTGGGTCCCGCTGCGTCTCCGGCGTGGCCGGTCGCAGTGGGGCCACAGATGGGGGGGACAGAGACCTCCTGGTGGCACAGTGCGGGTGGGGAGATGAGGGAAGCAACCAGCATGGCCCTGGGACGTTTCTAGCTGGGTGGGTGTTAGGTGGACGGGTAGAAGGTCTGTGTCTGGGGAGGCCGAGCTCCAGCTGAGCGGCAGGAGCTGACGCAGAGTTTTGCTGTCTACAGTCGGAGCCAGAAGGATTCTCACATTTCCACCTGTACGTCTGCGCAGCCTTCTTGATCAAGTGGCGGAAGGAGATCCTAGATGAGGAAGACTTCCAAGTAAGTCCCTGGGGCTGATTCCGTGGGGGTAGAGGGGAGAGGAATCACTCTGGTTGAGAGCCCGGAGTGGACACCGTCAACCGTCCTCTCAGGATCTTTGCCTAAAAGTAACCCCTGAGCCCCAGGGGAGAGAGTGGAGCTGTGGGAGAGTTCAAACCACTCCCTGCACCCAGCTTTGATCACTGTGAGTCCTTTTGAGTTTGCCTTCTGGCATCCAGCTGTGGCCCCCTTTATCTCAAGGGGCTTGGGGGCACCTGAGGTGCTTCACTTGCTCAGACGTAGGCACGAGCACAGGTTGAAGCTGTCTCTGAGCCTTTCAGCCCCACGATTGTAGCAGGTTCCTCCGGTCGTGCCGGCCCCTGCTTTGCCTTCAGCCGCCCCAAACTGAGCACCTTCCCCTCTTTCAGGGCCTCCTGATGTTGTTGCAAAACCTGCCCACGATCCACTGGGGTAACGAAGAGATCGGACTCCTGCTCGCTGAAGCCTACAGACTCAAGTACATGTTTGCAGACGCACCCAACCATTACCGCCGATAGGTGCCAGGACTCGACTTCCTCCGCCCCCTCGCCGTGTCCACTCCCTTGTCCTGGTCCGATCTGATCACTGTGGCATTTTTTTTTTAAATTTTGGTGTTTTTTTTTTTGGTCGTCTCAAGTCCTTCAAGACACTCCGGCCGGGAGCTGCTCCTTGCTGTACAAAGCTCACATGGACTCTTGTCTTAACTCTTTTAACGTGTGCCTGTCTGCCACTCCATGCGCCTGGACGTGCCACTCCAGCGACCCTCA